GCCGCCCTGAGTCTTCGGAGAAGGGCGGCATATAAATCAAATTAAAAAAAAAAAATTAAATAGATGGCAAAACTATAAACTTGTGAAGGGCAGTGGTGGCAGGGAGGGCGAAGCCAGTGCCCCCCCTCCCCACCACAGCTGCAATGATGGCAGATTTGGGAGCTGCTGGCAGGCGGGGAGGAGGCCCCGTGGCCCGGGAAGCTTTGCAGCCATGGAAAAAGCTACTGCCCTCGCAGCCATGTTCTTCACACATGCGCATCCCATTGGACTTGCAAGGCAATGGGATGCATGTGTGTGAATAACATGGCGGCAGCGAACATGGTGGCCGGGGCGAGCGAGCGGCGACCAGGGGACTGGTTCGGGGGCATGGCCAGCCAGCCATTACTATCGGTTCTATGAAGATGACAAATTTTTATTACCGGTTCTCCCGAACTGGTGCGAACTGGGAGCAACCCACCACTGGTGCTATTGCTATCATTCTTGATATGTATCTTCAGCAGAGACCATGGATAGAGAGCTAAACTGTATGAATAAATAAATAGAAAAGTGAGCTTTTACTTTCCATCTAACATTTTCTCATTAGTTATAATTGTTTGAGAGTCATGTTCATGAACTAAGTTTGGCATGTCTGATCCTTTTATAAACCGAAGTTTCATTTTAGTGAAGTTCAGGTAACACAAAGGGGAGTTTGCAATAGTGGCAAATATCTGTAGCTCGGGTGTAGGATGAGAGTGGAGGTTTGTTCTCCGTTCTTGTGGGTTGGTTTCTGAATGTTTCATTATCAGGCTAGATAACATCTTCAGTGGAATTTAGGTAATGTCAGTGTTGGTGTTCTGCTTATAAAGTCTTTGTATAGTCACTAGGTCTTGTGATGGTAGCATTGTGTCAGGTGAGGGTCTAGTGAGGGGTCAGGTATGGGTCCCTATCAGGTGAAAGTCTTGTGCTGGGTCTTGTGAGGGATCAGATGTGGATCATGTCAGGTGAGGGTCTTGTGATGGGTCTTGTGATGGGGAGGTCACATCAGGTGAGGATCATTGGGAGGTGACGTGCTGGTTGTGTGGGGATTGTGGGATGGTTGAAGATTGGTGCTGACACTGTTTGGTTGTGTGATTTATTTGAATTTTTTGGGGTTCGTAGGCTGGTTAAGGTTGATATGTCTGTTGATGGAATTGTTTATAGAGTGCCAAGCTTCAATAAACTCACATGTATGGTGGGTGATAGCATGGCCAATGATTCTTATATTGCACCAATCAAGTTGGTGCTGTTCTATGTCAGTGTGGGTAAAGATTTAATTAATTCCTATCAAAATATGTAGGTTGTTGCTGAAAAAAATTATTGTCAGAGACCCAGTTACCAATTTCACTTTACTACTTGATTTCAATTTGTATTTATTTAATTTTATTTTTAGTCTGCCCTGTAGAAAACGTTCTTTCCAGGTGGCTCCCAGAATTAAGGTAGCATTTAATTAATTATACTATTCCACCATCAGTCTAAAAACAACAGCAGTTAAAATCTCCAATATATTACCGTGTTTCTCAGAAAGTAAGAGCCTGTCTTATATTTTTTTGAACCCTGAAATAAGCGCTTGGCCTTATTGCCATGCGCTCAAAAGCCCAATTGGGCTTATTATCAGGGGATGTCTTATTTTGGGAAAAACAGTATATTTCCAAAGAAACTAGACTTAAGAACAAAAAGGTTTCAGAATCCATTTTAAATAGAAATATGAATATCCCTATAACAAAGATATTTTCATGAACCACTCCTGAGAAGCCTTTGTCTCTGCTTGTTCATATTGGTATTCCAAGAAGCAGGTGTTTTAAAACCAATTTTAAGGGCCATAAAATCTCATATAAATCCAAGTAATTGTTCGAAAGATATTTGGAGGGGCAAATCTAGATGTAAAAGAAGAGGTGATGCTTTGATCACATGATTGTGGCTGCCAGCTTTACTTTTTATGCATCCCCTCTGCAGCCATCTGTGAATTTTTCTATTTTTGTTAATTTCTGATTCATTTATACCAATATGAATAAACCATGCTTAAACCAAAATTAGTGCATGTCAAAAGAATTCAAATTAGTAGTTTGTATTAGCCAAATTTTAAAAGGAATCATTTAATGTTGGATTTGAAAAATAACAGCAGAAAATCTACATTCTAGTCCTATTAAATTTTGAATCACAATGTCAGCATTTAATTTTGTAACTTTAAATATAAATTGGACATTACTGAAAATAATGTTTTGTTTTTTTATTTGTCAAGCATGTATACGATAACAGATATAAATATAAACATGATTATGAATACATGAAATGGATACGAATAAATGGGGACATTAGGACAGGGACAGTAGGCATGTTAGTGTGCTTATGCATGCCCCTTACAGACCTCTTAGAAATGGGGTGAGACAGTAGACAGTTTATCTGTAGACAGAGCTATAATTGCACTCAACAGTGAACTAAAGGGCCACCATCAGTGAACTGTTGGACAGCATTACTTGGTCTGTTGTGTGGATGTTTGGGTGGTTTAGGGGTAGGGAATTTGTGGTGGGTGGGGGTGTGTTTGGGGATTATTATGTGTGTTGGACCTGATCTTTGGGTGTTAGGTGAATTTCGTTGAATGAGTATACTGTGTATACACATACAATGACAATAAAGTAGTTATGATTATGATTATCATTTAAGGTTAAACTGTTGTAAGCATCTCTGGTTTAGAAGATAGCACAGCATCTGCACACAGCCATTCAAGGGCACCTTTTGCAGGTATGATAAAAACAGCATCAAAGCATCAATCCCCAAAAGCCCTATCCCTTTTGGACATGCCTATAGCATCAAAAGAGTGAGCCTATGTCACAATGTCTCAATTATTACTACTTTAATCATTTTCCCCTTGTAGACACTGTTGTAACTGTTTTGTAAACCACAATTTATAGATGAACCTGTGATTAAAATAATATAATATGAAGTAACAGCTAAGTCAGTTGCATATAATACATGTGTCAAGACTGAATCACTTTCGAAACTTTTGAAACTCTTTATCGCTAGATATAGACCCCGGGAAGGTGAAAGCAATACTGGAGTGGGAAGCTCTCCAGACTAGAAAACAGCTGCAAAGTTTCTTGGGCTTTGCCAACTTCTATAGATAGTTCATTTCATCATTTGCCCAGATTGCTCCGCGAATCACAGAGCTGCTAAAGACGGGGAGGGGCAGTGAAGCCAGTGAACTGAACTATGCAATGCCAAGTGGCTTTTGAGAAACTCAAACAATTGTTTGTGGCAGAGCAGGGGTGGGTTCTAAAATTTTTACTACCAGTTCTATGGGTGTGGCTTATTTTGTAGGCGTGGCTTGATGGTCATGTGACAATTCTTTAGGATTTAGCAGAGGTACTGGTCTACCAGGCTTTTAACTGCTTGCAGAACTGTACCAGTCTACCCATTTATTTTTGCAGACACTGGTCTACTCATGTATTTTTGCAGGCATCGGTCTACTCATGTATTTTTGCAGGCACCAGTCTACTCATTTATTTTTTGCAGGCACCGGTCTACTCATGTATTTTTGCAGGCACTGGTCTACCCATTTATTTTTGCAGGCACCGGTCTACTCATTTGTTTTTGGAGGCACCGTCATATCATCACCGCTACCAGCTCAGGGGAACTGGGCCAAACCGGGAGGAACCCACCACTGCAGCACAGCCTATCCTTAAACAATCAAACCCAGATGAACCATTCGTCATCCAAGCCAATGCCAGTGATATGGTGCTGGTGGCTGTCCTACTTCAACGGAATGCCAAAGGGAAGCTGCAGCCCTGTGCCTACATGTCCCACAAACTCACCAACATTGAAAGTAGGCAGTGTGGAAAAATGAAGCTTATGCCATTTGATGGGCATTATTGACATGGAGGCAGTTTTTGGAAGGTAGTAAGATCACATTCAAGTAGGGACAGACCAGGAGTAAAATGCTCCCGGTTCGGACCGGATCGCCTGGTAGCAAAAATCCCTGTGCCCCCCACACCCCATGCCCAGCTGAGCCGCACGATCATCAGAGGTTTTTTTTTTTACTTTTAAAAGCATTTTTTCTACAACCTCTTCGGACGAAAAAATGCTTTTAAAAGTAAAAAAAAAACAAACCTCTGATGATTGCACTGCTCATCTGGGATCGTCAGAGGCTTTTAAAAGCATTTTTTAAACAACCTCTTCGGTCGAAGGTTGTAGAAAAAATGCTTTTAAAAGTAAAAAAATAAAGTTGGCCATGCCCACCCAGTCACATTACCCACCACCACCACCAAGCCACGCCCACAGAACCGGTAGTAACAAATTTTACATTTCACCACTGGGACAGAGCACAAGAACTTGGAATCCCTGAGGACACTGAGAAAGCTGTCTCCAAAACAAGTGGACTCGATACTTTAACTGATTCAATTTCACACTTAAGTGCTTGCCAAGGGAAAAAAACTTCTTGGCAGATGTGCTTTCCCAAATGTCCCAGTACAAGAGCACCCAGGAAAAGATAGTCAACTCTATCATCCCCTCCAAACAACTAGTTCAAACCTCTGAAGAGCGGCAATCATGAACCACTCCCCCACAACTCCTTGAATGGTTGATGCATCAATTAAGGGCCCTACAGTAAGATGAGTGGTTCAAAGCTGTCATGGCCCCGTAGGAGCCCGGTCCCAAGGAGGAGGAGGAGATGGAGCTGGGACCAATGGAGGAAGAGGGTACAGTCTCTCTGGCCCAGGAGGAATGACCAGAGTACCAGGACGAGGCAGTCCCAGGTCCCTTGTGCCTCAAAAGGGTCATCAGAGAGGAAAAGAGATGCAGGGTGACTGAGTAACGGTGGAGGAGATGAAAAGGGCAGGCAGTGAACAGAGGAGCATCAGAGCTCCATAGATGAGCAATTGCCTCCCCTGCCCGATCCTTGAGCACGGAGAATGAAGAGGAGGTGGAGTCAGCAAAGGGCGACCCGACTACTTGGGACAAGGCATCCTGCCCCTCTTCACAAGGCTTACCTGGAGAATAGGATTTAAGGAGACGCCAGGGGAAGGGGCTTTTGTCGGGAACAAGTGTGGTACTTGCCAGCAACACTGGCCATGATTCAAGAAGCCTTGCTGTTACCGGTGACTTGCTGCCTTCTTTTGCTTTGTCTTGCTCTGCCTTGCGGAATGGGACTTTTCGGGTCCTACCCTTGGCCGTGCCTGCTTCTCCGCCATGGTTCCGCCTCCAGGCATTCACTGCTAACTTTTCTCCTCAGCTGACATGCCCCTAGCTGTTCGTCCTGGCCAATGGGCCATGGCCCCTTTGTCTCACGTGCTGCAGCGCGGGCCATTTGATGCCACACTGTTCGTCCCGGGACTGTTAGCCACCAGCCAATCAGCTAGCTGCCAATGCTGGCAGCCAGAAGCCACGGTGCGATCAATCACACGGGGGTTGAGGGAGCTGCTGCAGCCAGACAGTCTCGGACGCATGTTAGGAGAAGGAAGGGGAGGGGGTGGAAGCTCCCCTGCACCTGATCATGCCTCCCTGATAATGAATGGGAAGGGAAGAGCATGGGGGGGGGGGCTGTATGTAAGCTGGCTTCATCCAAAGGAATTTTTGTTTTGGGTGGGTATCCTAGCCTTAGAAGGAGAGAGGGAAGGGGAGAGAGGGGGGGGAGAGGGAAGGGAGACAAGAAAGAAAAGGGAGAGAAAGAAAGAAAGAACCTCAACCCTCCCTCACTACATGTAGCTCAAAGTCTTCCAAAGGAACCTCAATTTGCATATCTTGATATCAAGATATATGGACGAAATGGGAATTTTGAAGGTGGGGAGATAAAACAGTCCTACTTTTCAGATGAAGAAAATAATCAAATAAACTAATATTCTGCTCTCTCCCCACCCCACACCTGATCCTGCAGTTGGGCTGCTGCTCCCCCCCACCCCACCCCCACCATCTTAGGTATGGATATACGACATCGGTGAAGGCTGGTCATGACAGTCGTAAGTCAAGGATTGCCATCAAATTGGAAAATAGTACAGGTAGTTCTCAACTTACGACCGTATCATATACTGACTGTTCAAAGTTACAATGCCATTGATGACCATTTTTCACACTTATGACCATTGCAGTATCCCAATGGTCACGTGACTTACAGTTGGATGCGTAGCAACTGACTCGCATTTATGATGATTGCAGCATCCTGGGGTGATGTGATCTCCTTTTGTGACCGTCTGACAAGCAAAGTCATTGAGGGAGCCAGCTTCGCTTAACCATCATCTGACTGACTTAAATAACAATCCACTTAACAGCAGTGGTAAGAAAGCTCGTGAAATGGGTCCAAGCTCACTGAACAGCTGTCTCTCTTAGCAACTGAGATTTGGGGAAGCCAGATTCACTTAGCGATTATGTGACTGACTTAGCGACCGTTCAAGTTACAATGGCACTGGAAAAAGGGATTTAGGACTGTTTTTCACACTTAATGGCCATTGCAGCATCCCCATGTTCAGGTGATCCAAATTCGGATGCTTGGCAACTGACTCTTACTTATGACGGTCTCAGCATCCCAGAGTCACATGATCCCCTTTTGCAACCTGACCAACGAAGTCCGCGGGGAAGCCGGATTCACTTAACGACCATGTGACTTACTTAAGAGCTACAACTACTCGCTTAATAACAGTGGCAAGAAAGATCGTAAAGTGGGTGAAAGCTGTCTCTCTTAGGAACAGAGATTTGAGGCTCAATGGTGGACATGCACTAAGTATGCCCTTCCCCTTCCTTTATGAGTATGTCAATCACCGGTAATCCGGCAGGCCTTTGCTCTCAAATTCTCAATCTGGCCCACAGTGATTGACATCCACTGTTGGAAGATAGATTGAGTAAGATGCGTCAAAACTCACTTTAAGAATGCTCTTGCTTAGCAACCAAAATTTTGGGCTCAATTGTTGTTGTAAGTCGAGGACTATCTCTGCCTTCCTCTGCATGGCAGCCTTGCCTAGTAAACTCTGTCCCTTTTCTGGGAATTTCTCCTCTGTGTTAGAGGCACCAAAATAACCAAGATGATATAAGGCCTCCTGCTGGAGCAGGGGTTGGACTAGATGACCTCTGAGGTCCCTTCCAGCCCTGGATTGCTATGCTGTTCCAAAGCATCCTCTGAAACTATGTCTAGTGCCAGGGTTTGTGGTCCTTCCTTCCTCTTCTTTTTCGCTTCCTCCCTCTCTCCCTCCCTCCCTCCCTCCCTTCATCCATATCTCATTCACTTTCCCTTCCCTCTTTTTCCCTTCCCTCCCTCCCTCCCTCCTTCCCTCCCTTTTTCTTTCTCCCTTCCCTTCCCTCCCCCTCCCTTCCTCCTTCTTTCTCTCCCTTTTCTTTCTTTCTTTCTTCTTTCTTGCTTTCCTTCTCTCTCTCTCTCTCTTTCTTTCTTTCTCCCTTCCCACCCTCTTTCTTTCTTTCTTTCTCTCCCTTTTTTCTTTCTTTCTTCTCTTCTCTCTCTCTCTTTTTTAAGCTGATAGGTTCCTTCCAGGAGTTTAGTTCAGGGTTCCATCCAAGCACAAACAGGGTGGCCGAATGGACCAATATCTGGGTGGAGCAATATTTATGTTGCTATCTAAATTAACAGCACATGAACTGGGTAGAACTTTTGCCATTTGCAGAAGTGGACTACAACAACTCAGTTCATAGCTGAGGAGAGGCAGGACCAGGATCGGAGTCAGCCAGGTGGAAAGAGAGGTATATAGTGCCGCTCCCCCCTACAAGCGCAGCGTCCGTCTCCCCCCCTTTCAACGAGGAAGCTTCCAAGCCGCTCGCTTCAAAGTAGCCAAGCCATTCCCTTGGAAGCAGGAGCCCCTGGGGCTCATGATTGATGGCCTCCGCATGGAGCTTTCAGCTGCCTTTCCCCAGAGCCCCAAGGCCAGTGTGGGATTCAATTTTTTTAACAACCGGTTCTGTGGGTGTGGCTTAGTTGGGGGTGTGGCTTGGTGGTCGTGTGACCGGGTAGGCGTGGCTATCTGGTCATGTGACTGGGTGGACATGGCTAGCTGGTCATGTGACCGGGTGGGCGTGGCTATCTGCATAGGGGCTACTCAGAGGGCTGAAAAAAGTCATTTCTGTCTGGTCCTCGCACTTTTGACCAGTCCTCGCACTTATGACCATCCTCACATTTATGCCCATTGTGGCATTCTTAACAACCATGTCACTCATTTCACAACTGCTTCTTTTCATCATGGTGACAAGATAGAGCAAAAACGTAAAATGTGAGGACAGTCGTAAGTTCGAGGACTGGTCAAAAGTGCGAGGACCAATCAAAAATAACTTTTTCAGCCCTCTGAGTAGGTGAGGACAGTAGACAGGTGAGGACAGTAGACCGGTCTTCGCACTTATGACTGGTCATCATTTATGCCCATTGTAGCATTCTTAACAACCGTGTCACTCATTTCACAACTGCTTCTCTTCACCATGGTGACAAGATAGGGCAAAAACATAAAATGTTAGGACAGTCGTAAGTTCGAGGACTGGTCAAAAGTGCAAGGACCAGTCAAAAATAACTTTTTCAGCCCTCTGAGTAGTCCATATGCATAAAAGAATACAGCAATAGAGAGGGATGAAGGAAGGGAAGGGAAATTAGAGTAGGAGTGAGGGTAAGAGAGGGAGGAAGAGAGGAGGAGAAGGAGAAAGGAAGAGGAAGTAGGGAGGAGAAGAAGAGGGTGGGGGGAAGAGAAAGTAAGAAGGAAAGAAAAGAGAGGGGTGGTAGATTTGAGGAGAAAGATTGCTGTACAATAAAAAAGATGAAAGGGAAGAAAGCCAACCCTAAACAAATATAAAGATATTAAGATAAAGAATGAATTGTTAAACTTTAAAGAATAAAAGAGAACAAATATGAATAAATAGCAATAATTAGAAACACACATACAAACATACAATGTATTTTCTTTGAACAGATATTTGGCTGGTTCACAAATTTAAACAGTGTTTAATCATTTCAATTAAATTTACAATTTCTATATTTCCTTTTTGCCATATTTATTCCTCATCTATTTTTTAAAAAAACCAATATTACCCTTCATCCTCATCTCTAATCTTAATCAAATTCAATTTTTCCCTTCTATTCTATATTATACCCCTTCCCACTGTCATCTATTTTTATATCCATCCTCACATTGGTTAATTATGTAATATTACAGTTGTTTAATACAAATTCAACATTTTAATATAAATCAATTAGTTATATAACTACCTTTTTTGTATATTAATCAATATGAACATGAATATTCCAATTATTTCCATGCAATCCAATTTCTTACAAATCAATTAATTATATTTACCAATAATAATAAACCAAATAATTTCCCCCATATATTCCTCCAAACCACAACTTAACCATTTCTGCTTTCGAACACAATATACAATTAATAGTATCTCAATTATTACAATTCCCTAGTTAAATAGAGCTTTTTTTCTTTTGTGTTTTAAAATCTTGAACTCTCCTCTTTTGCCCTAAATTTCCCATTGTTTGCACCTACCTTTTTTGGTGAGGAAAAAGAAATCTCTCTCTGCCTCATTTTGTCACGTTGCAGCAAAGACCCTGCTTTACTTTCGGTTTCGCTTTTTCAGCATAGCTAGGCTAGGGGGAAAAAATCTGCTCAAGCACTCTTTGCAGAGAGCAATAGAGCCCTGGCAAAACAGCTGAGAGCAAATCAGCTGAGAGGCGGGAGGCCGATCTAATCAACTTGTGCTAATTAACAGATGCTGAAGCTGAAGGGGCTGTTTTTTTCTTGCTGTTTGCTTGCAAGGAGGTAAGTGCTGCGAGGCACAGGGCAAAGGGTGGGGGCCACCCTCCTTGCCATTTAGCCCCTCCTGCCACCCCCCTTGCCTCTTACCGCCCCCTAAGGCATTCCACCGCCCCCCAGGGGGCAGTACCGCCCACTTTGGCAACCACTGGCTTAACTACTTAACTACTTAACAACCGGTTCTACCGAAGTAGAATCCCACCACTGGGTCTACCCATTTATTTTTGCAGGCGTCGGTCTACTCATTTCTTTTCTTTTAACACTGATCAGCTGTAGGGTGGCTCTTTGAAGCCCTGCAGCAGCTGCAAGGCCAATAAAATTATAAAAAAACACCGAACCATTTGTTAAATTGCTGGCTCGCCCACCCCTCGCCCAGTGGTGTGGAGGGGTGGGGCAAGGGGGGGGGCGAGCCAGCAATTTAAGAAACGGTTCGGCCGAACCCCCTAGAACTGGCAGAATTCCACCACTGCCCAAGGCATAGCAGCTGCCTGCTCCTCCCTCTCTGCCCGCCCGCCCTCAGCCCTGCACCGAAGTTTGGGAAGCATCGGGGAAAGTTTGTGCACTGCGCTCGGGGCATGAAAGCAAGCTGCCGCTGTCGCCAGCAATCATGGCGAGCAGGCCAGCTGGGTCGGAGGAGGCCGCCCAATCAGCTCCCTGCTCCTCCAGCAGCTCGCTTCTTCCCCAGAGAAGGGATGGCGGCATACAGCAGAAGTGCTCTCGGCTCCAACAGGGAAGCTCTGAACGCACGGCGGCTTACTTGGGCTCCTCCCTGCTCGGAGCCGCAGGCTGTAGGGGGAAGGGCAAAAGCGACCAGCCAGCTCAGGTGCACAGGGCAGTATTTGCTGGCTGGGCAGCTGGCTGCCCTGTCCGCTGCTCCTTCCCCGGCGTTGGCTCGGTTGGCAGCGCAGCAGCAGGTGTGACGGGGGTCGGGTGACGGGCCCAACCGCAGGCAGTGCAGTGGTGGGGGTCGGGTGGGGGTGCTGAACTGAACCAGGGAACGGCGGCTCCCAGCAGAAAGGAGTCCAGGCAAGCCACATGTTCAGAGCTTCCCTGGCAGTGCACTTGGCCCTGCCATCTTGGCAGCGCCATGCGCTGGC